AACGCATGGCTAAGCTTCTGATAGGAGAGCACCGGTGAACAGGAAACTTGCCCCCTTGCATGCGGAGCCCTGCTTGATTCCTGCCCAGGGCACCTCATGGTAGCCAAGGTAGCCTATCAGGGGAGGTCTGAGAGCTGCTATCCTGACCAATAGCATTCAGCAGAGGTGCCGGAGTAAGAGAGAGGAGTGAGCAAGGCCTGGCGATTTCCTTTCCAAAATCAGCCAGTGAAAGCTCTACAATCACAATGGTCCCAGCTGTAGCTGACCACGGAGGCGGTGCCAGAGGTGCGCATGGTTTTGTTCTGTTGTGCACACGCTGGGACCAGTCCACGGCAGCTAACAACAACCGGCTTCAGACCATTTCCTTCTGAGACCCTTCCTTTCGAGCTGGCCAATCTGGGATGCCCTCCGGCCTCTTTAATACGTGGAGAATAACGTGTGAGGTCAGAAGGATAACCATCTGGGGCAGGGCAATTGCTCCAACCCAACTGGTCAATCAGATAAAGGCAAGTGGGAAATCTCCTGGCTCCACTCACAAGCAGAAAGTTCGCCAGGCCTGGAAAACCTGTAAGAAGTAACCAAAGGAACTGGAGAATTCCGGGAGGGTTAGGTCAGGCGACAAAGGAGTGTGCCAGAGATGACTGCAATTCTATATTTGCCTGGTTTTCCCCTTAACTGGAAGACGTATGCTTTTTTCCAGAAAATATTTGGAAGGCTACAAGCTGATGACCTCAGATAACAGACGGAAATAGTGACTGGGGTTTTTGGAGCTTCATGCTGACCTGGGAGAAGAGAAGAAAACCCATCACATAATACTTTTGCTGTCTGTGTTATGGCATTTGTGAGGCAAACAAACTTGGTTTGGCCCCTTAACTCTGGTTTCTGAAAATAACCTGGGCCATGGAGATGCTTTTGTTTTTCAAAACAGGCATGCAAGAGCCACACAGGCCCCAAACGTGGCGCACCTCAACGAACCTACACGAGGTGGCCCTTCAGGCACAGTTGTGATCAGTGCAATCCATGAACCCCCCTGACTGCAGTGGACCTCTCTCCACTCCCAGGAGTTACAATGACGGGGCACCTGGGAACTCCAAGTGCTCCCTTTGGGAACTCCTGGACCTGGATCGATGAGAAGATCCACGCAGGAGACGGGGTGTGCCAGGCTGGGACCGCTCCCAGATCTTGTCCAATGAGATGCTTTGCCTGGGTTCCTTCTGGCCAGCATGAATAAGAAAGTATGGGTGATCGTCTCTGTAGACTTCGTGAGTCGTTCCAGAAGTGAACAAACACCCAGAGACAATGAACCCAGGGGGCGGGAAGGGGCAGGGAGACTGGCAGCACAGAGTCAGTTTCTGTAGCCTCAGTTCTGGGTGGTTAGGTGAAACACTGCATGCGGAGCTAATGAAGAAGGACAGAGTCCTTTGTGACCCAGTCTCGGGGGAAGAGAGAGAGAGAGGGAAAGTGGGAGAGGAGGGAGATTTTGCCACCGAAATGGCTGCCTACCAGGAGTGGCTATGCGGAAAAGTGAAACCTAGATCTATTTCCAGGTGGGCGTTGAATTTGTGCTGACAGCTTGCCCAGGGATTTATTGCATCTTATACATTTCATCTTACTCCCCATGGGCTAGAATTCAGAGTCATGAATTTTAAGCATGAAAGTAAAAGTACTTCAGACAGTTTTACTCTCCTGGTACTCTTGTCGGGCAAGCTGCTAGACCTCAAGCAACATTTCTGATTTTGAATCCAACTCTTGATGTTTTTCTTACAATGACGTGGGAATTGTGTATATGCTCTACTGCCTCAGCCATTTCTCAGGGGAAAGCATTCACTGAACTGAGCGTGCTTCCAGGAAGAGAAGTATAAGCTAAAAACATGTGGGTTTTCTGGCTCCTCCTGCGACCCACGTCAAATGCGCGCATCCTGCCCACACCTTCCTGCCTGGGCTGAGGATGACAAGGGGCAGAATGCATCATGAAGGCCCTGGGCGTGTCAGACCCTCTGTCACCTGTGGTTCGTTGGGGCATTGGGGCACAGGTCCTGGCTTCCTGTTTATGTCACTGTGAGGTGAGAAGGGTGAGGAATCCAGAATGCCTTTCATCCTCCAGGGTCAGGAAAGGGGGTGTAGTTAAGGGGGGGCTGCCAGTTCTTGGGGGGTGGGGAGTTTCTTCTGCAGAGTTCCTGCAACTTCCTCTGTCAAACACCTGCTTACATCACAGTGCAAATAACCGGCTGACGCAGGGTGGAGGTGTAATTCAGAGATGCGATCAAAGACAAAGTAGCCCCTGTCTAGCTCCCATCAGAGTTGTGCTCACAGGTCTTACAATGTGAGCCTCAGGAAACGAGGCTTCGCTTTTAAACTTAAACTCTTCATCTACACAGGACCTGCTTTTGCCCGCCTCCGTCGTCCCCGTGGAGCGACAGGTGGACTCCAAATGACAAGCCAGGGGCAGAATGGGTCGTTCTGATTTCCAAGAGTGGTCCTTGGGTAGGCCCATGGCCAGAGCCAAGCTGGAGCGGTGGAAGACTTGAACAGACCGTTCTAAGTCACACGCATCCTTCTGTGGCGGCTTTGCGTCTCCAGCAACACAGGTGGCCACGCTTCCCCGGACTGTCCCCCAGGAGATCGACATACGGATGCGCCTAGCAGCACTGTTTGCCAGAGCAAAACAATCAGAAGTGAGGTCAGTGTTTACTGCTAAGAAAATGAACACACAAAGATGTGAGGTCGTTCCTACATTGTCATAAACCACTAAACCAAACTCACTGCCATCGAACTGACGCCAAATCACGGCCACCTGACAGGACAGAGTTTCTGGGACTGCCACTTTCTGGGAATAAAAAGCCTTGTCTTCCTCCCTCCTGTGATTATACCTCAGTGAAAATGAGGGCTAGCTGTTCCCATAGCAATCCCTTTACCGTGTGGATGAACTTAGAAACACAGTGCTAAGGAAAAAGGAAAGTTCGGAAAGACTACATCCAGTATATTTGCTTACAAAGCTCAAAGGGAAAAACGCAGCTGGTTCACACACGCATGTCTGTGACAAACTTCTTTTTAAAAGCCAGGAAATAATGATGAACACAAAGTTCCAAGGGGTGCCTTCCTCGGGAATAAAGCTGAAGGATGGGACAAGGGAGGAAGACACGGGCCAAGCGTGGGATTGATGGTGCACAAATGCTCACTTGGAGTAACTGGGCTGCGAACTTGGGTGTCACATGGCAGTAGGACTTTGAGAGTTGGTTTTCCTTGTCAGGCTGTCTCTGCCTCACGAGGACCCTGCGTTCAGCAAGCAGAGCATGGTCTGCTCCTGGGCCATCTCCCTCATCACTGCTAAGCTTGAGTTTTAGTCTTGGTAGCAGTTGTGTAGTATCTTACTTTGCAGCCCCCTTGAAGACAGTGCTCTGTTTGGATTCATCGGGTTGGCACTGGGTGGTTTTTGGAAGGGGATCACCAGGCTGTTCTTCCCACCTGTCTTAGTGGGAAGCTCTGCTGGAGCTTGTCCATGATGGCACCCTGAGGGCATCTGCAGTACCGCGGCAGAGCTTCTAGCTTCAAAGCAGCACACACGCTATGCACATGGTAAACCGAGTAGCAGGGGGTGGAATTTTAATACAGTGAACCCTCGCCACTTCGCGCCTCGACTTCCGCGGCTTCACTCTATCGCGGTTTTTGCGTAACAGCGCATGCTCTGTCATTACTGCCACTGATTGGCTCATACTGTACACGTTTCTGTCTGCATCGCTACGTATCGGAGCTACGTATCAGATGCATTTTTGCTTTTGTACAGTGTACTGTAATTGTTTGCGATTTTTAAGAAATTTTATCTAAGCCCTATGATGGCTCCTAAACGACCTGCTTCTTCTAAGCCTTCTGACAATAAAAATAAGTGCCAGAGGAAGATGCTCACCATCCAGGAAAAGGTAAAACTTTTGGATATGATCAAAGATGGCAAGAAAATCGTGGCGGTTGCACGCCATTTATTACAGTATTTGTAAGAACTATGTATAATAATACTGTATGTGAAATATGTAATACTGTAAACTAGATGCCATAAATAATATAATAAATAATAAATGATAAATGTAACGTCCAAAATGTTTTACTGTATTTTCCCTTTTTCATTTAATAAATTAGGTTATACGAGTGTAATGGTGACTAAAGGGTGTTTTTTCATGTCCTCTATGCTCTAACTACGAAAATATTTGATTTACAAATAAGGAATCCTACTTCGCGGAATTTCATTTATCACGGTAGGGTCTAGAACCGATTAACCGTGATAAACGAGGGTTCACTGTACATACCGGTTGCATGCAGTCCCTTGTAGGTGTGAGATACATCGTTGGGAAGATAATAACAGAAGAATATGTCTGTAGTTATGACTTACCTGGGTGATAAAATTACACGTTTCAGGGTTTACACGTAGTTTAGAAAGTATGTAACCTAAACCCCAAATTTTACATATGCTGAAATGACTTCCAAGTTGTCAAGGGGCTTAGACAAGTTTGCAAACATCTCTAGTGATTGAGTTGAAAGTCCAACATTTGTGTCATAACTCCTAGTCACCCAACTTCTTTTTAAATCCATCTCCCAAATCCTTTTTCTTCGTTATGGTACAGAAAGCACCCTCTCCCCTGGCCTCACAGCAGAAGGGTAGATGTCTTTGGCTGGGCCCTCTTCGGACACATTGGTGGTTTTGGTCAACTTGTGACCGAACATGCCACATGAATAAAAAATGACCTTGGATGCTTTAGGCTTCTGATATTTGGGGGCTAACTCATTCTCTCTGAGTCTTAAGGATCATCTTGAGTGTACATGATTTTTATTCCACCTCACTAACTCTATATAGTAACGGTCATATATGGTATAACTATATTTTTAGGCTTCCTAGGAAATCTTTAGGGCAATGCAGCTTCCCATCCACAAACTTCTCTGAAGGGAGCACTCATGAACCTTACCCCGCACCCAACAATGGCCTCAAATGAGAACTGACGAAGAGGCAGTAATCAAGAGAAAATTTGAATCCACATTTATTGATGAGAGATATATACACAAAAGTTAAAACACTTAGTAATATATTAAATTCACAGATTATTTCCAGCATAAAAGAACATCCAGTTATTTTACACATGAAATGTTACATTAATCCATCCACATTGTAAGAAAGCATAGAAAGCTAACGGTGAAAACAAAATGAGCCCAGATGTGCTTTGCCAATGAGGCACTGCCTAGTCCCCAATATAAGAAACATCCAAGAACTAGATGAAGTTTTTCATCTTTTTTCGTTTATTAGTCATTTAACACTATGTGCTGTAGACGCTCTATGCTACATGACTTCACACCAACGGGGTTTGTGAATCAAAGGAAAACAATCTTATATTTCATTCTGCACATGCAAGAATCTTAAAAGATAATCTGCCTAAAGACTCGTTTTCTTTCAGTAAGATTTCCATCCAACAATTTCAATGACAGGAGTTGAAAAAGCCACCATTTCGAGGGGGAAAAAATGCCCGCCCACTAGAACCCCTGATCCCACTCCTCTGGAGAAGACACTGCAAACGGACGTGCTCCATGCCCTCGGGGGATATGAGCGGTGTCACTTCTCTTGGGAAAGAGAGATCTGTTCAGTGTTCCCAACAGCACACGGCCATTTCTTCTCTGTCCTTGTGGAGGAGGGGGACGGGGTTACAGAGCAAGAGACTGCATTCCACTTAGTGATCATTAGACAGATCATGTCTTTTAGGAGGCAAGTGCAGAATTACAGTTAATCTCATCTGCAATCACTCAACACACACACACACAGCAGATTAGGTACTGGAAGTCATACTTCCTTCACATGTGTAGGATTGTGCTTCATCACTTCCCCGCCCTGCAACCCCAGAGCTGCGCCCCTGACTGCTCCTGTGCTTTTGGCGGTCTGCCTGACTACAGACAACTGTGCGCGTTCCTGGTAGAACTGTGCTTTTGTAAGGGTTTGCCTGTAGGGCAGAGACACTTTGTGGATTTCTTCTGTATCCTGACTCAAGAAGTCGAGGGGGACAAGGCTCTCACAATCTTTACATCATGAAAATTATGATTGGTACTTGACAACCAGAGAGGTTGACCCTGGACTGTGGACATGATGCTAACAGGCCCAGGCCCAGAATGACCTTTAGTCACTCTGAGCCCAATTTACCGCGTGAAGCAGGACTAGCGAGGAGTATCCTCATTCTAAATGTCCTCTCCCTCGGCCCACGGAATGAAAAGTTCTGCCATCGCACTCACTGCGTCTTTCACAGCAGCCAGATGTCCGTTCACTGGAACCTGGACGCACGCTCACCCGATCACTGCTCGGAACTGGGGATTCACAAAGGTGCTGGACACATGCACACGCACACACACAGACTTTCCAAACAATTATCAGTACAAAGTTTTTCACTCGTATATATCCCAAAATCACATTACCAAAGAGCAGAAAGCACTCACTGGTAGGTGCCTAAGAAGGAAAAGAAAGGTTTTTCTAACACCAATCAACTTGTCTACTGCACTTAGCTGAACAGCCAAAAGTAACATTTAAATTAAATTACAGTATGTCTATACACCATTTCACTGAAATTACACACAATGACCTACATTATAGCTACACAAAGTGCATAGGCACTGTTCTTCATGCGTGAACAAAGGGTCAGCGTGTACAAACAAAACATCATACTTTGACAGCCACCTGTACTTGAAAACCACAGATACAATCATTGCCAGGTAAGGGCACACCTAATTTGTTTACTTAATGAGGAGCAGGTTCACATACATACCAGTCCACTTTCTATGGAAACAACTATTTATGAAAACAGAGACCGTGGCCAAAATACAAGCCCTACCAACCATGTCAGGAAGTGTGTTTGGCTGAAGGAAGACACCTTCTCTTTGTAGTGGCTACTGCTGTGCCATTGGTGGGGAAGGCGATGTAGCCTGCTTTTCACCTGAGGACAAATCCACCTGGGCTTCTGCTGAACAATTTTAATGTGACCAAAGCCTCCATACCCGGTGCCGGGGCACTGCTTCACAGCTGGTCCTAAACATGCCTTCTTCCTTTCTTGAAAACATGTGCTCAGTTCATATCACAACGTGGCATTTATTTCCAATCTTCCTGGCAAGAATTAACTGCAACAAATCTGTCTGGATGGGCCTCCTAGTGCTCACCCTCCAGCCTCAGTTCCGCAGGCTTTTCCTAAGTCCGCATTTCATATAAACCAGTAGGAAGGCATGGGGGATTCCGATACAGAAATGATCCCACTTTGTCTTTGATTTTTTTTTTTTTGAGGAAAGCAAGATTGGAAAGCTTAGTTGGAGAAAAAAAACCAAGTCATGGTGTCAAAAATTCAGGAATCAGCACCAGACCTCTAGTTTAAAAGGTGTCTTGCTTAAAAGGGTGCATTGGCCAGCTAAGGAACTGAAGCCAGCCCTTGTTTTCAACAGCCAGTTTGTTCAATGTCTCAAGTGTGGCTAGGGGTTCAGGAAACAATTAACAGCTATAAATTGCTGTGGAAACACCTTGTGCTCTGATTAGTTATAATTCTACATCTGTGGTTATATAGAAAATACCGTAAGAAAATATCTGTCTGCAAAATCCCAGATACTACATAGGTGAATTCAGTCTACACTGAGTTCTTTAATGACTTCTGAAGGTTAGATAAAAACGTGTAATAATATGAAAGGTTAAATTAATATCAAACATAGAATATCCAGGATTACAAACACGTTTTCTCATACTGTTTATACATAATAGCAAAGAAGCTTGAGGATCTGTATTTTTTTAAAAGAGCCTAAGGTTGGACTGGAGGAATTGGTGGGTTCGGGGTCTAATACTGAGCAGAGGGGCAATCTACGGCCCCTAGGAACATAGGTTCCAGGAAGTCAAAATATATCTGCTGGCAGAAAGACCAAGTTAGACCCATGTTTTGCCAGCTCTCTCCTCAAACTGTAGAAAACAAATAGAAAAGCAATATATAAAAATCCTCACAAAAGTAGCTTTTATATACAAATCTCTATAGCAAGCAGATAATCTGAGGCATGCCATGGAACATGGAGATGTAATGTTGAGGTTCTTCCGGGGGAAGGAAGAAGGAGGATAAGGGGATAGAAGAACTGATGCCAAAGGGTGAGCTGCTAGTCAGGAAACCAATTCTTTCAGAGCATTAAGCAAACAGCCATCAGATCATACATTTCAGGGAATCCTGTCTGTGGGGGACAAACTTTATAGTGATGTGCTGGACCAACTTCATTGGCTAGTAATTGTGTGTGCATTTCTCCCCTACAAAAGCAACAGGCTGTTGCCAGGCAAGCTAACTGGTTGCCAAGAAAGGAAACGAAGCCCCAGAAGGAGCGAGGCTCTCACTGCATCATCCCATGGCCACTGGGGATGCTCCCAAGGCTCTCAGTCTGTTGTTGGTTCCAGCACATACCCAGGGATTGGTGGCGTCTCCAGAGGAACTGGGGACTGGTTGCTATCCATTCTCTAGGTCAAGTGATGACTGTTGAATGGGGCAATTGACTCAATTGTTGAGTCAATGGGGCAATTATATTCTCAGTATAAAAGGGCCCTGCATAAAAATCAGAAGGGCTATGAAAAATATAAAAATGGAGACGTGGCCCAGAGCTGGGAAGGTGAAGCAAGCCTAGACCCAGGGGGGACAACCAAGCAGAACTGTGGAGAAATGATACAGGAAGTTAGTTAGGGTGAACCGGAATAAAGACTTGGGACTTTTCTCCTTTGTCTACAGGTCCTTATACGATAAATTAAGGAAGTCTTTGTCTTGTTGTACCAGTGGGGAGAAAAGCAGTCCTTTTAACAGCTGTTATCTACATAGCTAAAGAATCAAGGCCTTCACAGACAGGGATGGGAAACCCAACCCAACGCTAGCTGTGCTCGGCAGGAGTTCAGCCAAAGAGCAGTGATGAGAACAACAGGCCAGGCGGCAGTACCAGACAGTGCAAGAAGTCATTCTGGGATGATGGCTGGGGACATGGTTTTGCAGGTCATGGATTTCTGAGATGACTTCCACAGCCCTGCAGTCTAGAGCTCCCCCAGCATTGAAGAGTGCAGGGGTGGCCAGCAAAACCTCATCGTGGCAAGGCAGAGGTTGGTGTACCTGTGCAAGGTCACCCATCAGAAAGCCAACGAAGAGGACCCGTGGAAAAGGAATTCCACCCGATAGCCCTGCCTATCACTCCAAAGAAAGGACTTGGGCTAGGCTCGCCGGGAGATGCATGCACAGTGTGCAGGGGAGGAAGGGGAGGCAAGTCTTGCACCAAATTTCATAAGAGTGTTCAAGGTTATTTGCCCAAGGTTCCCAAATCCCCCTACTCGTTTGGCAATTAGGCCCGTTTGGAGAAAACTGTGTGTTTTGGCTCTTCAGAATGGGCTGTGTTGCAAGAGCACAATGATGCGAGAGGGTGGAAGAGGTTGTAGACTTGCCCAGTCATCTCCTGGTGGTGCTGGATGCATGCGTTTCTGTTCTTCTCTGAGCTGAAATACTACTTGTATTAAGACAGCGGGTTTAGGTAAAGGACACTTTTATAAAAGGATGCCTGTTTGTGGCCCCAAACGTCAAGCTGTGGATTAACACAGTCATGCAACCTTGAAAAACATCAAATGCTAAAGTGAGAGGTTTTGGATTTAATCCAACACCGCCACCACCCACACACAAAGGGTATGAGAAAAATCTAAACTGATTAGTCATTATTGTGGGCCCCTCCAACTAAAACAATAAGTTAGTAACATTCTGTCATAGTAAGAACAAAATCATAACACCATGGTTTCTTAGAGCTGGAAAGAGGTTTTATGTAATTGTTTAATCCAACCTCTTTGCTTTACAAATGTGCAGGAAAAGAAATCAGGTTCAGAGATCATGTGATTTGTGTAGTTTTATACAGCTAAACATTGGTAGAGTCCAGCCCAGATGTTTCTTCCAACAAATCCTGACACTTCTCTTTGTCATTGTCAAATTAACTGTTTTCTGCTAGGCAATTATAGACTATCCAATTAAGCTTCCCCGCCATCGATTCTAAAGCTACCCGTGTGCTAATTTATTTCGTCATTTATTGCGTCAGTCATTTCTTAAGCAGCAGCAACGATCAGTGGAAAAGGAAGAGAAGGAAATTGAGCTTTCCCCTGGAGAACACCAATAACACAGGACACATCAGCAGATTCAAACTCATTTGGCCCAAGGAGAACAAGAATTTGTTAAAGCCACCTGCCTGAACCAGTACTCAGTGGCCCTACTAGGTTTTAGCCAGAAATTACCCCAGAGGAGACCAGGAATCTTCCCCAACAACTGAATGTGTAAAACTCTCACTTTCAGGCTCGCTTGGCTCTAACTTGGGAGGATCCCTAGATCCTAATATCCTCAGCCAATGAGCAAGAATCCCAATCACTGAGAAAGCCAAGTGGGTCCTTTTCCTTGAATTGGAAGGAGTCAAGCTGGAGCACAAGGAAAGCACAATCGAGACAGCCGTGTGGCCAAAGGGCGAGCGCAGTTCCTTGGGAAGAGCCACCTCCACTGGGTGTAACAACGGAATACTTTTCGTCATGCAATGAGGCTAGCGCTGCTGAGACTTGTTTACCAAGAGTCTGAACTATGGAGACATGGCATCCTTCCTTGGATTTATCGCCGTCTTTCTCAGGACCCTATTGCACAGGTAGAAACCTTGATTCTGGCATAAGGAAACAATTACAATAGAACGTTTGCTATGGAGAGCAAAGGAAGTCTGGTATTTGCCAAAAGGAAAAAAAGCAGATTGGTTTTCTTTGAGGGAACCCAACAGATGAGCTACCCAACCCTCCTTTTAAAAAAGAGTTTCTAGACTAGACACATTGGCAAATGCCCTCCTTCCCCATGCACTAACAGAAATGGCCTGTGGTCTCCTAATCAAATGGTCATTGTAAATTCTGGTCTCACCTAAGAGGATATAAATCTCACCATGAACCGGATCTTCCCTAAGTCTTTATCAGCTGTCACAGCTAAATCCAGAGGCGGGGAAATCTGGCACCCTTTCTCTAGGCTTTCATGAACATCTAGGCTGACTAGCTACTTCATGCAGCTTCTGCCACCTGAAGTCCTACATTGCGGGCCTGTGCGATCTGGCTGCCTATCTTGCTTCTCTGCTGCGCTTTGCGGGGTATTGGTGGTGTGTGCTGCCAAGTCAATTCTGACTCACCATGACTCAAAGGATCAGAAGAGACCTGCCCCCATAGGCATTCTCAGGCAGACATGTTTATGGGAGCAGATCACCAGGTCTCTTCTCTTACGGAACTCCTGGGAGGTTTGAACCGATGACCTTTTGGTTAGCAGCTGAGCAGGTAACCACTGTGCGGCCGGGCTCCTTGCATACAGAGGCACAGCCTGAAAGCCCCTGAGGTAAGGCATTACCTTGAGAGATCATCTGCTGTTACTGATGAAATGCCACTCACTGGATTTTTAGTAAATAATTAAATGGGGATTGCATTTGGGTTCCCCAAGGGGCAAAATCAAGCAAGGGAAGATCGCAGTATGGACTTAGTTGGTTTTCTCTGGAGATGATGCTCAAGTGAGATATAACAAAACTGTGTTGTCGAAGCGCTGAGTTACGGGATGCAGTGTATGGATCTGGCCTGCTTTGTCTGTATAGAAATATAACATTTATGCATCATCAAATATTAGAGGACTGTTACACGCATTCATATCTGTGTTGGATCTCCTAATATAAATCTCTACATATAACTGACAGGCTATATGGATATAACTCTATGTATATAATTTAGAAAAAGTCATGAGAGGTATACTCTGGATCCACTGTTGTGTTTATGGCACATATGCTGGGCAAGAGAAACCCGAGTAGGTGTGGCATGGGACGCATAAAGGAGGCCTCGAGCAACAGAGTGAATATTCATATGCCAGCTCTAATGCACACATTCTGGATTTCCATGAGTTTTAGAAATTGCTTATTTTTAATATGATTGATTGCATTTCCAGTTACATCTGACTTCCTGAGGATATTTTTATGAGGCTTACTGCCTAGTTCTGGTAAGAGCTGTGCATCTTGCTTCTTTGAAACACATTGTCCCCCTATATCCTTAGAGGCTAACAGGATAGTTAGGTGAAGAAAAAAAAAGAAAGCTAAAACAAACTGGAAGGATGTTTAGGCAGAGTCCTAGGAAGCTAATTCTCTCGAAATGCATATTGGGATTCAGGGATTGACCACTTATTGACAAATATTAAAACATGAAGCTGGCCTTCAACGACAACCAAATAATGAACTCATAAAGGTTTGGACAAGATCATTCTACTCAGAAGTACATTCCTGGGAGCATCAATTAAGACCATGTTTAATAGTTTCACAACTAACCCAGGTCTGCTGGGCCCACAATGTCTGCTCTAAAGGATGTATTTTGCATTACTAATTTTCAGCATATCTTTCACCACCTTGGTAACTTGGTGTTTAATGAAAATTATGACCAATGCTGTTCTTAAAGGAAAATGGGGGGGGGGGGCACTGTGTAATACTGATCGTCAGCAGCGATCCTTATCCAAAAATAGCTTGCGTCTATGAGGCAAAGAACAACGACCTCTTGTATGTGCCAAAGGAGTCTAAGTTGTAAGAGAGGAATCAGGAAGAGTAGGTAATGTAGGGTATGAAGAATAAAGGGTATCTGATATCTCCAAATCCTCTCTCCTCAGGGGATCTGCATTCTATGACTGCTCAGGAATATCCTACGCGCATGTGTGGACCAAGCTGGATATATTCCGTAGAGTAAAATAACGGTGCTTTATTTCACAGTGGTCCAGGCTCAAGTCCTCGGCAAATTCACCAAACCAGCAACCTAGGAAAACACTGTGGGCTATCCACTAGTAAATAATAGTGGAGACACTCAAAAATTTCACTGGCATAGTCAATCATGAAGAATTCCCTGTGTAATTGTTCAATAAGAATTCTCTGGATGGCCTACAGTATGCAAGGCATTTCGCTTCTCCAGTTACAGATGGTTTATTCCTGCGAACCTTCATAGTCTTCCAAAGAGCTATGTTAAGCTGTGCAGAGGCATCCCACTTCCTAGTTGAAGGCCACCTGGACTCAGTCATTGGCATGTCATCACTGTGGGATTTTGCACGTTTGTTTTCTGTTCCTTTACACAGAGAAGGCTGGAGAAGAAGACTGGTTCTACTTCCACTGGTGTGCTTTGACAGAACATAACAGATGGCTTTCTGTATGCTACATGAATACAAGTGGTTGTTGTTGTTTTAAGAGGTGGTTCGAAGATACACAACCTACACATGATCCTCCATGTGTGAGGAGAGGTGATTAGCTCTTCTATGTTGCTGAGAATAGGACTGACCCCCTTAGGGAATAAAAATGTCTTTTTTTTTAGGAGCCCTAACAAGAATATTATGGGCAAAAGAAGCAAAAAAGCAAAACAGAGATCAAACCATCTCATCATTCCACCATGGCAGCTAAATGCACATTAAGTATAAAAAATTTGTATATATTAAGCTGGTTAAAATTTATATTGCCTGTGCTTTATTTTTGCCAATGTATATATAGTAGTCAAATGTAAGCTACTTCCTAATCCATGAACATATTTATCACTAAATCTAAACATACCTTGAACTTAATTATTCACACAACTAGCCAGAGCGGCGGCAGAGATGCAGTGAGCTCCATGGTCAACTGCCTTTACGACTATGGCTCCCACTAAAACTTGGAAACGTTTAACTTCAAGAGGATACGAAAGACAGACTGTGAGCATTCCCTAAGACAGATGCTTGCTTTGAATCAACACATGTGCCAAACTCTACAAGACATATAAAGGGAATAACTTCTAGAAGCTTCTAAAAGAATCTCTTGTGCATCACAAGACGAGACATGGCGAATACTTTAAGGAATAACACACGGCGTGTTTGCTCATTATCCCGAGTCCCTGGAGTGTACCACGCCGTGGCAGGCATGTCCCCTGGGAAAAGAACATCCACATTTCTGCATCTTGAGAGAGGAGGGAAGCTGGCAAGAATGGGTCTTCAATTCAAACGGCCTCCCCCAGCAGCACCCATTCAAACAGTAACGCAAGTGAGGAAATCGGATGGTTATGAAGCATTATTTGGCAAAGACAGCCTTGTGCCTATCACCGCTAACTCCCAACAGCTCCTCTAAGCCTCAGCTAACAGATTAAGTAAACAGAAATATGTGTGGATTTTCTTTCCCCATCTCTTTTTAAAAAGAAAACTGTTTAATCTTTACATCATCTTTTACCATAAGACACGCTGGGGAATTTATTCAAAACTTGGCTGAGAGTCACATTCTTATTTTTCATGTTTCCAAGGCTCCTCGTCAACACTGCAGTCGGCTGACTTTCCATTGGCTGCCAGAGTGACCTGAAAATAATTATCATCAACAACCAGCTTGTAGACCATGAACCAGAAAGAAAAAGTTCCCCCAAATGCCTGGGTTATGTGGAGGAGCACTAGATACAGGGCTGTATCATATGCCTTAAATATGCTTTTAAATGTTGTTCCTTTCAAATTGGTTGTGAGCCCCTCTTGGTTTTCAACATCCATTCGGGAATATTAAAATATACACATTTGCCTAAGTAGGGATGACTTGGCAACGTGCGCAGTCACCTCTACTGTGCTTTTCAGGACGAGGGGGTAGTTAATGACCCATCGCCCCATCACTCTAGCCCAGGACATCCTTAGAACACAGTCCCTGTGCTTCTCCATACAGCCACAGAGCACAAGTCCAGGACTAGGGAGCTCATTCTACGCGTGCACAGGAAGGGTTCAGTTGCCACGAGGCCAGGTGGGTTCTACTCATGCCCAATTTAAAAATCAGACATCACAGTGGTTTGGCTCTGTCAAGTAAATTCTTCAGGCTTTCACACTTTTTGTCTGTTTGTTTGGGTTTTTTCTTTTTTAAGAGAGAAAGATTAAAAGCCTGAGATCAGTGACACTGTATCTCTAAGTTATTCCAATACAAGTATTTCATAATCATATGTAATCACCAGGCAGTCTGCATCATGTCTCATTGGCTCAAAGTGAACTGAACCCTTACAGAGGAGGGGAGGGTTCCCTCTCCATTGCTAAGTCATTCTTCTAGCTTACCTTCCGTCTGTCTGTCCTCAACGGCATGTGAAAACTTAAACCCACGACTGATATTCCACATAATGGAGAGACTGGATTTATGGAAGCATTAGGATATGGAGACATGACAAACGCAGCAATGTTTGAAAGAAATTTGACTTTCTTACCCACGTGGAAATGAAATGCATGCATTAAGGGCACAAACAACATGCTAGGAACAGAAAACCACGTGCCCTTCACAAACCAAGCAAATGAAAAGATAGGCCATTCATTCCTCCAGCCCCCCAGTTTGTTTGTTTGTTTGTTTGTTTCAGACAGGCTGCAATAAGCAATGATTGCTCCACATGCAGTTACTCTGATGACAATAAAACAGCTATTGCACGACTTGAAACGGCTATTACCACGCATGATTTTGAAAACAGAGAAGCCAGTGTCACATAGCAATGCTTTGAGTGGTTCAAGTCTTGACCAGAGCATCAGCAAAGTTGTTTTCTCTTCAGTGAACAGTCGAGAAAGACTGCCAGGGAGAGACTGTCTGGAGAAAGCTGACTTTCACTATGACCTTGAAGGTGCCCATTTGGCTTCCAGTCATGAACCAGGTCAGTAGCAGCACAAAATTAAAAATCACCTCGTGGTGCCTTTGCAAGAACCAGAGGGCACATGGGGGAGCTTTCTTCCTTTTGTTTTAGAGACTGGGATTGATGCTTCCAATGCAGCTGGGCGAACTTTCTCGGCATCGCCTTCCTGGGTAAGTGGAAGGACGCTGTTGAACCCATTTCCTCCCCTCTGACCAAACCACCAGGGAAATAACCAAGGCCATGGACTCACTGCCTTTGAGCTGAGCTGACTCATATCGATGCAACAGGGCAGAGCAGAACTTCCTGGCTGGGTTTCCAGAGCTGTAATCTTCAGGGAAGCACCTGGCCCTACCTCTCTCCCGCAGACCTGCTGAGGAGCTGGAACCACCCACCTTTTGGTTAGTAACTGAGCTCTTTAACCACTGTACCCCTGGGGCTTCACCAAGGTCATGGGAACACAAAAAGGAAGGGGGCTGTCGGGAGTCACATGGTGTCTCCCAGCTGAGATGTTTTTTAAACCAAGAAACAACGAGGTTGGGAATTGACCAGAAGGAAGTTCAAAAGAATGAGTAGAAGTGATGCAGAAATCCTGGGAAAAGGGGTTAATTCATCTCCACTGATCTGGGTACCTCCTTCCCACATCGGCTGGGAGAGGGTTCATTGTCCCAGTGCCATGGGAGTGACACGGCGTAGCAATGACTCTTCACTCAGCTGAGCCCAATGCCTCTCTAAAAACACAAACCAAGCTGGCCACTCTCATCATCTCCATGACCCGATCACCTTGACCACTAGGCTAACTAAATGCTAATTCTCCAAGGAGTCTGTGGGCGGTTGGCTCAGTGGTAAATTGTACAGCGAGGCCGAAGTGCTAGAGCTATGGAACTGTCCAGCCCAAAGGTTAGCTTAAAAACAAATCAAGGGATGGAGATGCTCAAAGGAAGGAGACATCCAGCAACTATTTCTTGAGCATCCTCTACGTGCCGGGCACTAGGCTAGGTGCTAGGGCCCATTTCCTTTGAATTACTTTGATTAAAAACAAACATCTTCAGATGTTCTTGATATCCTTTAGGAAAAATTATACCCAGAGAAGTATGAAATCAAAAGTATACTTTTTAGCAAAGCATGTCTTACGTAAAAGTCTGTTGAAAAGCCCTCCTGGCCCCACAAACAAGGTGACACCACAGGCAAGTAAAGACTGTGGTTGTTCTTACAGGCAATTGTGACTAGCCATACCTGTGTGACTCTGTCTTTCTTTTTCTTTTCCTTAATCCCTTTGTTCTCGTTGTGTGGTTATCAATTTGGGTTCAAGTCTTATCACCAGTACAAAATTACAAATTCACTTTGTTGACCCTAGTGCCTAATTAAAGGTGTTGAAGGTAATGGGCACTCAATCAAAACTTAGCAAGTGTCCAGATACAGGAAGTCACAGGAATGAGGTGGGACATGCAATTAACCCCTACAAGGCATGTCACAAATCCTTGCTAATTGCAGCAGAGCAGGAGGCCAGTCCAGGAATACTGGCCCCTGCATTGCACATCTTCATTGCTCGCAGGCAATGTCCCCTGCTCCCAAACTGATATTTTGATGAGAAATAATCCAACCCATTCATTCAGATGTGGGAAACACTCACTGTTCAGGAGAAAAAAAGAGTGCCTTTTAAGTAGGTCATTTAACAACTTGAATACTTTTGAATAAAGATCAACTGCTTAACTCAATTGCTTCTAGATGGTGAATTCCTTCGCTGATTTGTGCTCAAGGTGTGAGTTCCCTACCCATGGACTCGACACAGAGGGAATGAGCCATGGGCCAGGGATGGTCCACTAGAATTCTGTACCTATTTCTCAATCTGGTAAAGAGACTTGCTTCTGTGTCACCCTTAGCTGCGTGGTTGGAGTTATCATGTTTGTTTGGGAAGACCCAGAAGTCACTCATAAGGAAAGCAGCTACTGACCGAGGGCTTCTCAAGAGGAATCAAGAAGTGTAAGACATGTGGGTTGGCTTTGGATTGTCCTCAGTTGCTGCCTGGAACCAGGTTAGCAAACAAACCCTCAGAGTGGTCTCTCTGTTCACCTGCCAGGTTTCTCCAAGTTTGCTTCACTCTGGTCATGACCATCTGTCTTTGACAATGTCAGGTTAGTTACAGAGATCAGACAGAACCCATCAAGCTTGTATTCTTAGCACCCAACAGCTCGCAGGAGAGGCCAGAACACCCTGGTACAGGAAAGCTGGTGCTTCCAGGCTATCTACGAAGTGGACAAACCAGTTGCGATTGAGTTCATTCTGATTCATGGTGACCCTGTGCACCAGGCTAGAACTGTGCGCCACAGGGTTTTCCGTGGCGGAATTCTGGGGAAATAGATGACCAGGTCTTTCTTCTGAGGTGTTTCCAGGTTGACTTGACCCTGCATCCAATTAGCACCTGAGAACATTCACCATTTGCGCCAGCCAAATTGTCTTTCTTTGCTTTTGGTTTAAATCTTTAGATAAATGTCCTGAAGGACAGTTATCCTTTACTTGAAATTCATTTCCCCTTCTTGGAGCAAAGGGATTAATAGGTCAAAATGCATCCTGAGAGATAGCTGTGCAAAGTTCTGTGGACAGCTGGGTACCTTTTGGACCAATATATGATGTACAACAATGAGAAAACCCTGTGCACTATGACTTAGATGATGCCAGATATGCCCTTTGGCCTTTCCCTTCAGGCATAAAATGTTTGCTACTCAGTAAAATTCTGATACCCACTAATTCTTGAGGAAAATATTAGAAAAACTTGGTCAGGGAAGTGGGTGAACACAGGTATCAGAATGATTGTTTTATACCACGTTGAGTACACAAGCAAGTGATTGGCTCTTTCATTGTTAGACTTGTTAATTTCTTGCCACATTAGACACAGAATTAGATGACCTGGGACTCCTAGAAGCGTGGGTTACATGATTCTTTAGAAAAATAAATATGACAATAATACATGCAGGGCTTCTGTGTTTTTCTGGTAAGAAAGTGAGCATGCACTACTATATACAGGTCTCGATATCCAAGAAGGGAAGTGGTACCTTGCACTCATCTACTATGACAGAGTTGTGTGCTGCATAGACACACTGATTCGAGTTGCTTTCCCTGTGGTTCTTCGTGTCGTCATACATGGATTGAGTCTTGGTCATTTCTATGTCCTCATGTGCTTGATGCTGCGAGTCAATGGAATCCAGCTCAGACTTGGAGAGGTGGTAGACAATTCCAGCACCGAACGAGTCACCCACGACATTGACGGAAGTTCTCATCCTGTCCCTAGGGACAAAGACCGGAAAATGCGGAGTGAGAAAGCAAGATGAGGTGGAGGTGGTGAGGTCGATGTCTAGAATCAGAGAAACCGTGGGGCAGGTTACCCCATTTTTGTGAATCTTGATTTATTTGTATGCCAACTGAAGACAATAATCAAGTTTCTCTCGGGGTCTTGGGGGAGAAGTAAAGGCGACAATATAAGTGCTGATGAATAAAAACTCAATAAACAAGAGCAAAGGAAAAGGAGGAGGAGGAGGCAGTGGAAAGGAAGGAATTTGAGGGAAACCATCATGTGTCCAAATCTCAAAACTAATAGCCAGGTTTCAGTCCCTGTGTCTAGCCATGGCTTCTGGCTTGAATTGTGTCTTGGAGATGCCAGACTATCCCCACTCATTTAATTGTATTTGTTTTAATGAAAAAAACGAACCACCTGGGGACTTGTCATGGAATGAACTATGTCCCCTCCCCAGTAAGTGTCAACCTGACTAGGGCGTGATTCCCTGCATTGTGTGGCTGTCCTTCAATTTTCGATATGATAGAATTATCTTCCATTTCGTCATATGTGTTAGAGGTCCAAACCTCTGTATGTGAGTGAGGCAAGACTAGGGTGAGGGATATCTTGAATCACAGCCTTACAAGAGGACGTGACTCAAGTCCTACCCTTTCTCAAGTCATCAGACCCCTTACTCAAGTCACACCCTGGATCTTATGAGAGATCAAAGGAAAGGAAAGTAAGAAGAGAAAAAAGACCTCAGTACCACCACGAAGAGCCAGAGGTGGAGCACGTCCTTCAGACAGGGTCTCACCACCAAGTCAACTCTGACACCGAGAGTAAGGTGACCAGATGTCCCGCTTTTAACGGGACAGTCCTGCTTTTTGGTGTTTTTTTAAAGTCCCGATGTTTGGAAAGAATGCACAACAAGCTAGGGAACGGTCTATTTGGTCCATATAGACCAAATTTTTAATCAAGGACCCCACCCCCCACCCCCGGTCAATGGTGCCCTGCTTTAAATCTGGTCACCTTAACCGAGAGACACTACAGGACAGGATAGAAACGCACCAGGCATTTCCAAGACTGTAAATATTTGTGGGAAGAGAGAGCCTTACTCATCTTTCTCTCATGCAGTGGGGGTGGTGACAAACTGCGAACCAGCCCAACGCATAGCCCATGCTGCCACCAGGGCTCTAGACCGAGGGCGAACATGCTGAAAAACTTCCAGACCAAGGAGAAATAAAGATTTCTCCAAGACTGATACCGAGACAGATAGAGATTCCCAAGAACATTACGTGTCTACAGATACTGAAAGGACACAACGACCTTCTTCCTGAGCTGACACCAAAGAGAGCCTTTCCCTAGTGCGATGTCCCTGAATTTGCACCTTTAGCCTCCTAAACAATAAGAGACTAAGTTCCCGTTTGTTAAAACTACCCACTAGTGATATTTCTGTTACAGCAATGCTAGATAACTAGGAGAGGATTCCGCATAAAGAAAGCTCATCTTTCTGTAAGGATTGAAACGATCCCTGCCTTTCCCATTATGTCCCCCTCCCACACACCGCCCTCTTGGATAAAGCATCCAGTCATGATGTGCTCATTGACTAATATGCACCATGACCTTGCGTCTTAGAAAAATCAAGCAAGTTATCTTGTTCTCCTTATTACTTTCTCCTCATTAACAACTCATTAACTTCCAGAATGCCTCTTGAATCAAAAAGCATTTTTTTTAATCCTTGGCAAATTTTATTTCCCAAGTTCTAGTTTGAAGAAAAGGGGGCAAGGGGGGGTGATGTCTAATAAAAGTCCCTCTTAGAAAGCCAAACCAGAAAAGACAATTAAGTTCTTAATAGTGAATGTGTCCTCTTGTCCATAAGTGTGAAAAGTCCTTTTGGGCCTGTTTCTAGATAGTCAAAGCCTTATAAAGAAAACGCTGGAGAATCATATGAAGAAGGAAGAAAGGGAGGGAGGGAAAAGGGAAGGTGGGCAGAAGCAAAGAAAGGAGGAAGGGAGAGAGAGAGGAAGGAAGGAAGTAAAAACAAAAGAAGGAGAAGAATTTTAGATAAAGATGTCATGACACATCCTCAGCTTGGACTCTCTAGCCTTCAATTTTAATAATTCAGGGGTAGTAAGAGTAAGTGCTAGCTAAAGTAGAATCCTTAATTCCTACTCGGAACAAATGCCTAAAAGAAATGACTGTTGCTGTGATCAGATCTATTTCTCATGAGAGACTAATAATTAACATAGAAGCTTCATGGGGAGGAGTCTGCCCTGGTTCCCAAGTTCATCTGTGAAGACGGCCACTTGTCAGTCTGCTGTCTCTCTGGTTCCTCCTAGAAGACGCTGCCAATGAAAACCAGAAATGCGAGCTAGAGTCTGACTCGTTGGGCCAACTTTTCATATTAGACGGCTCTTTCTCACCCTGCTGCTTCAGAGAACCTTTCTTAGGATGATGCAGCCAGTTGGGGAGGACGTGGTGACGCAGAGGAGGGCAGACTTGAGAGTGTTTTAAGAGAGAGGGGAGTAGGGGACTGACCGGCTACTGGAAAGAGAGAGGATTTCTCTCAGGTGGCTGGTTTAGCCTACAATAGGGAGGGCTGTGACGGTGAGAGTGAGGGAGTTCCTGGTGTCTGTTTAAACACGTTAGGTGTGAGCCCAGTGAGCCAGTTGGGAAGACGGGATTGGGAATACGGACTGAAGGGACCTATGGTCTCCATTCGGATGGGAAGTGGGAAGGAGGCGTGGATGCTACCGAGGTGTTTGAGCTCTCCCTCGGAGCGTACACAGAGGACAGCCGAGTCGAAGACACTCAGGGCAGCCAACATTGGAGAAGCCCAAATTTGTACATTTTCTTCTCCTCGACAAGGGGGGGGGGGGCGGGAGGAGGAGGAGGAGTCCCCAAAGGTAGGAGGGTGTGGGAAACAGATTTCTCCCAAGTTGTCTCCCCCAAATATATGCCAAACCCACGAACTGCTTGCTACACATGGTAAATGACTGTACACTAGGAGATCAACAAAAGTAGGTCAGAGGTTATTCTCCCTGAGGGTTGTCAGCAGTCTAGCAATCAGACTGTGTAATCTGTCCCACCCTAAGTAGGGCCCGCTCTCTTCTGATAAGGATCATAGGAGATTGTTTCCTTGAAGGAGAGCCCAGGGAGGTCAAGCCCACTCAAGGATGATGAAGGTTAGGCCGCCATCATGAATCTAGGGTCCACCCTTCTTGTCACATGTACACCCCTAGTCCCTCCCCTTCCTATTACACCCCTAACTCATCCCCTTCCTGTTACGCTTATGCCCATTGTATATCCCCCTCCTATTGCTTGCATTGCCTATGTTACAGCCCCTTCCTATGACATATGTTTTTACCTGTAATTAGGGGGCATGTACGTCCCCAAAGATATATAAGCCCTGGTTAACAATAAATCGCGCTCACCCTCTCGCTCGCTCCTGAAATTCCCACCTTCCACATCCACATGTGGACCACCAAGCAGGGCTGAGGTGAGCATGCTACCATGAAATGTGTCTGACTTCTTTATTTCACTCTCTCTTATCACGCTATTACTTTTACTATAATCTTCATCTATCTTATCCGTACAATTGCGCCTATGGAACCCATGATTAGTTGTGGGGGGCTGGCTTCCCCCACAGGAGGGAAACTAGAAACGTGAACCCAGTGTTTCATAAACGAAAGCGGCTGTGTTTCAAGACTAGACGGTGGTCACTTTTGATCAGAAGTGAAGTAAATCAGGATGAGGAGTGTCTCACAGCATCAGCAGGAGGAGGTCATCCTGGCCCAGCAGAGGCAGGGTCAGTACAGAGGCTGGCACAGGAGCCAGTGGGTAGATGTTTGACTGAGAAGTGACAAAGGGAGACACGGACTAATGAAGAGGAGGAAAAAAAATAGATGGCGGAGGGAGAAGCAGATCAAGAGCAGATATTTCGGTATGCTCTGATTTTCAGACTTGGACATGCTGGAACCTTAATGGGAGGGCATCAACAGAGGTGGAGAAATGAAAGATACAGAGAGGCAGGAATGAAGGATGAAGCTCCGAGCCTAGAGAGATGAAAGGAATGAGCTTCAGAACAGGCTCGTGGAGGCCACATGTCCTTAGGTGGGGGACTATTCCATCCCTACAGAAGAAAGGCCAAGGAGTCCACGAGGCAAGTTTGTGAAGACAGATTTCAAAGTGAAGTGACAAGAAGTTACAGTAGATATGAAAATATATGAATCGAAGTGTTAATTTGGACTAAAGTAATAGATTAGAGCCCGATCATGCCAGGTTCCTCTGGCATGAAGCATGTTGGGAAAGTTCCTTTCTGAAATACTGTAGAGCAGGTCACCCAGAACCCTCGGGGGAACATCTGACCACTTCTGGGAAAGTCCAACTCTTGCCCAAAGCAGGATATGGGAATTTATGAGGTGGTAAAACCCAGAGCCATTGTTTGATGGATGGAAAGTGTTTCCAAAGGCAGCTACTTTTGTGGTCTTTCACCACAGCCCAGGCCACTCACGCCTGTCAGGCTGACGTCTGGCTACATGGCGAACACCTTTTTGAGTGCTTGGTGAGTCAGGAAATAACTCGATGTCATGGCGTTTGAAGTTAGATGCACGCTCCTTGGGTCCAGATATGGTGCATCAGGAGTATGAGAGTGAGGTCCATCTTTAATGGAAAGGATTTCTACAGAGGACAGAGCTCTTATTTGGGGGCTCCCCAGTAGCCCGAGACACGAGAGGAGAGTTCCTCAGCTATTTCACACAGAGACACTGCGTCTCACTCCCTGGAAGAGGAGCACTTCCCAAGGTGCTTTCTCTTTCCTTTCTATCTCTGGCAGGAAGATGGTGGGATTGTCTAGAAGTTCTGATTCTCACCGAAGAACGAAGGCAAGGTGTGGGAACCAGAAAGATTTCTCCCAAGTCATCTCCCCCAAATAGATGTTAGACTTAGGACACTGTTTGCAGTAAATGGTAAGTGATTGTCAAGTTACCTCCCTGAAGGCAGTCAGCTGCCAGAC